AGGTGGAGCGTCGCTTGTAACTTACAGCCAGCAATCATTCCCCACTCCATTTAGTCACGCTATCTCAAGAACTTCAAATGGGACACTGAAAAATCAAAACTTTTTTCACCTCTTCAATTCAGAATCCCGTTTCGAGGACACTGCTGTTGCAAGAACAGCAGCTTTGCATCATTCGATTAGGTTAGTTCAATTTGTCTTCTCCGAGGTGGAGAATTTTTTTTCACGATTTTACTGACAGTGCTGATTCATTTGGGTTTATCCATTAATCTTTTTCTTTAGTTGTGAATTTGAATCAAGAGTGACTGTTCTTTGGGAGTGAAAATTTTTGCTTCAGATGCATCCTTATACTTACTTGATGCTTTGTTTTTCCTTTTATATATTGTTGATTGAGAAATATCTTAAAGATTGAATCTTTATTCACTTATATTTTACTTATGAAGTGGAATTATGTCACACCAATTTCTTTGGAGTTAGTTACTCCCTATATAGCATAGGGAAATTTCTTGATTGTCTTTGTTTAGCATATAGAAAGGGAGCTAAAAGGAGTTTGATTGATAAAAGACGAGTAGCCGTATTCAAGATGACAGGATATGAAGGGGCATCACTTAATCCAGAGGGGCTATCTGGAAAAATGATTTTCGAGCCGATTCTCGAGGAGGGAATATTCCGCTTTGATTGTTCTGTAGACGATAGAAGTGCTGCATTTCCCAGCATTTCTTTTCAGAATCCAAAAGCCAGGGATACACCACTTTCAAATGTCCACCAAGTTCCAGCTTACATTCCCAGTTTTGAATGTGTTTATGGACAACAAATAGTTAATATAGAGGTAATGGTAATATTGATCATTATGCATTTCCGCTTTTAAGCGTTTAAACATTCTTTGATTGAATTGGAACTATCTTGCAATTTGTTTAGTTTCCGCCAAACACCTCCTTTTATGGAACTGGAGAAGTTAGTGGGCAGCTTGAGCGAACAGGGAAGAGGGTAAGCCCATTACTGTCTCTATCTTCCATTCGCCAACAACCAATATAGCAGTCTTTAAATCTCATCCAGTTTTATCTCTTGCTACTGTGAAATCACATCCAAAAGAAGATGATGTGAGATTGAAAACGGGATATAACTAAATTTCTTTTGTAATAGATTTTTACTTGGAACACTGATGCTTGGGGCTATGGCCCTGAGACCACTTCCTTGTACCAATCACACCCTTGGGTTCTTGCCGTTTTGCCAAGTGGGGAGGCTTTAGGAGTTCTTGCTGATACAACACGACGGTGTGAGGTACCTGTAGACTTGTATTTATTTATTTCTTACTTTTTTTTTTTTTTATTTGGGTGTTAAAAACTTAGCTGTGTTATTGGTGACATACTGACATGTATTGTTTGAGCAGATAGATTTGCGGGAAGAATCGCACCTGAAGCTTATTTCCACAGTAGCTTACCCTGTCATTACATTTGGTCCATTTGCTTCGCCAACTGATGTTCTTGTATCTTTCTCTAGAGCAGTTGGTAATATAATGTCTTCAATTATGGTCTTTGCGGTACCTTTTTTTTTTTAAATAAATAAAAAGAAAAAATGATAACACAGTGCCAAATTTTTCTTCACCCCATTTACTTCTCTGTTGTCCAACTTCCGCATGAGTAAGCTGATAACGTAAATATCAGACACCTTTGAAATTTGAAAGGATCCTGTTAATAGAGATATAGTTTTGTCAGTTGGAGAATAAATAAACCGACTACTGGTTATAAAATTGGTATTGCAGTTTTCACTCTAATTTATGGGAGCTACTTGGTGATTTTGTGGAAAAGTTTGTACTTTGACTGGAAAAAATTCTTTCTTAATATTGCTGCTATGATAAATTTAACATGCACGTCTGGCCTTTTACTGAATTATAGGATATAATAAGGATGTTCAGTGTTGATCGAATGAGCTTCAGGTGTAGATCCATAGAATGTAGACTACGAACTGGACTCATTGAGACAAGGATGTTTGCCTTTTTTCTTGTATCGTTGACTTTTTAGAATAAATTTGAGTTCTATCTGTAATTATGTAAGTCAGGGAATAATATCAAGCTACTTAAATTGTGGCAGTTGATTCTCAGTCTTCGGTATTGCCTTCTCCCAATGGATGTAGTTATTTCTTATATTAGATTTTCTCTGAAGGTACTGTATTTATGCCGCCAAAGTGGTCCTTGGGCTACCATCAATGTCGCTGGAGCTATGATTCAGATGCACGAGTTCGTGAGGTTGAACACTCATGTTATTAGAATTTTCCTATTTGCTTGTATTGTATAGTATGTATGTTTGCCACTGTATGTATCTATGCCTAAGAGTTTCACAATTATTTATTTTGTATGTATGTTTGCTACTGTAACTGTAAGTTACAGTCTTCGGGTTGAAACATTACCTTCCACTTAGAATCTTAATTCTATGTTTATTACTTGAAGATTATTTTTCAGATGTATTGTCTAATTCTCCTTTCATCCATTTGAACCTTTAAGGAATTTACGTGGTCTTTCCTTATCTTATATGGTTGCAGATTGCGAGGACATTCCGAGAAAAGGGTATACCTTGTGATGTCATATGGATGGACATAGATTACATGGATGGATTTCGTTGTTTCACCTTCGACAAGGCAAGCTATATTTCCAGTTAATCTGTAGTAAATATGCATCTGAAAGTGTCAGATCTTTTGTTGGTTACTTAGCATGATGTTTAAGATGTCCTTTGAAAATGAACCTAAAAACTGTTCCTTTTAGTATCCTATTAAGAAATTTTTGATATGGGGACTTAAGAAAATGAATGACTGAGTTTCTGATATGCCATTCAGGTTATAAAGGTTTCCATTTTTATTAGCTTCTTTATTAATTTGCAAGAAATATCCTGAAAAATGGTGAACCGGGTTTTGACAAGTGGATAGCTTCTTTCTTAGTTTATCATTCTTATTCACAGTCCAAATCTCTATAGACTGCATGACACTGTTTGCCTGAACAATCTATTTTAAATGTGAGCGGTCAAAATGATTGGATTTTTTTTTTTTTTTTTTTAATTTTTTTCTGCAGGAGAGGTTTTCAGATCCAAAATCTCTAGTAGACGATCTTCACAATAATGGGTTCAAAGCTATCTGGATGCTCGATCCAGGTATTAAAAAAGAAGAGGGCTATTTTGTGTACGACAGTGGATCGAAAAGTGATATCTGGATTCAAACTGCTGGTGGAAAACCTTTTGTTGGTAAGATGAAAAAGATTTTTTTTTAAACTTTTCTTAAGAACACAAGGTTCATATTCATGCAACTTATCATTGTACCAAAAATTTCTCAAAGTTATAATAATAATTATTTTATCTTGTAGGTGATGTGTGGCCGGGCCCATGTGTATTTCCTGATTTCACCCAATCGAGTGCCCGTTCATGGTGGGCTAATCTGGTTAAAGAATTTATTGCCAATGGTGTGGATGGTATATGGAATGATATGAATGAACCAGCTGTTTTTAAGGTGATGTCAGCGCTTGTTGAGCTGTGAAAAGCTTTACTCCTCTTTTTACTTACATTCTTTTTTTTCACAGACTGTAACAAAAACGATGCCAGACAGCAACATTCATCGGGCAGATTCAGAACTTGGAGGCCATCAGAACCATTCACACTATCATAATGTACTATATTAATCACCTTCCAGCTCATTTTTAGTTGTCTAATTGTTTTTTGTAAGTTTGATACAGAGTTAAGATTTTCTTGACAAAATTACATATAGTGATATGGACTTACGAGTGTGCCTTTTGATTTAAACCTTTTTTATTCCTCTCTTATTTATTATTGTTATATATTTTTTGTTTTTACCTTTTTTTTTTTGGATTCTTCAAGGTTTATGGTATGCTGATGGCTAGATCAACATATGAAGGCATGAAACTAGCAAATGAGAAAAAACGACCGTTTGTTCTGACTCGAGCTGGATTTGTTGGTAGCCAAAGGTATGCTGCAACATGGACAGGAGATAACCTGTCTACCTGGGAGCACCTCCACATGAGCATCTCTATGGTTCTTCAATTGGTACGTGAAAGCAGTAAAAACCATATTCTTTATTTTTATCAGACTAAAAGTATTATGATGTTACTGACAAGTAACAATATTATGCTTACACATCTTGTACAAATGCCAAAAAGGTTAGGCCGTGCTTGTTTATAAAAAAAAAAACTGGTTTTTTCTTGACTAGAGTTTATTGAAAAAAGTTAGTATGGTTAGTTGTTAGTGGGATTTTAAGAATGTATTGAGATAATATTTAAGATAAAATGATTAAAATTGATTTGATGTAAAAGTAGGAGATAAATGATTGGAAATGATATGTAGTTAAAATTATCTGAGTAGTTGAATAGTGAATTAAAGTTGATGTGATGTGTAAGAATGATTGGATGATATTATTTAATTATATTGATAATATTGAGGATAGTGGGGTTGAGTTATATTTTGAATTGAGATAGATTTTTTTTTTTTTTTTTT